GCACTGCACTTGGCATGGGGTTGCACTGAACTGAAAGAAAAGCGCCTTTTTTTTTAAGTCTGTAAGCCCCCTCGGTGTGGAACTTTGTAGTGCCACCATTTACAGCTCTCATACTGAGACATGCCTACAATTATTCCACCTTAACCTCCCATAAGGCTTTTCCAAGATCAGGCTTTTATCTTATTTCCTTTGGCAGACATTTTCATAGAGAAGTCAGGCTGGAAGGGACCTCAACAAATCATCTAGTCCAGCCAGGATTCTACAACCTTGGTGCTACTAGCACCACACTCTAACCAAACTTGCTAAAAGCTCAGCCTTGTGAAAGTCCAAGTTTCAAGGGCCATCACACTGCAAGGACCCTCTTCCTTTCACCATATTCTCATACATCAGAGCCTCATAGCTCATGTCTAAACTAGTAAAATAATTTTACCAGGCTCCACATCACTTCTCCCACTGGAACACGTAGGGCTTGGCCACTAAATGGAAAACAAATCAAAGTGCAGGCCTTTTACCTTTATTCCAATCATCAGGCACAACTGTTCATTCATCTGTGTGCCACTTCTGTTTTCCAGACAAAACATATAAGGAGATTAACTACTTAGACTCACAGAATCACAGAAAAGTAGGGTTGGAAGTGACCTAAGGAGGTCATCTAGTCCAACCTCTGCTCAAAGCAGAACCATCCCCAACTAGATCATTCCAGCCAAGGCTTTGTCTAGCTGGGCCTTAAACACCTCCAAGGATGGAGATTCCACCACCTCTCTAGGTAACCTGTTCCAGTGTTTCACCACCCTCCTAGTGAGAACGTTTTTCCTAATATCCAACCTAACCTCCCTTGCTGCAGCTTGAGACCGTTGCTCCTTGTTCTGTCATCTGTCACCACTGAGAACAGTCTAGCTCCATCCTTTTTGGAAGCATACTTCAGGTAGTTAAAGGCTGCTATCAAATCCCCTCTCAGTCTTCTCTTCTGCAGACTAAATAAACCCAGTTCCCTCAGCCTCTCCTCAAAAGTCATATGCCCCAGTCCCCAAAGCATTTTTGTTGCCATCTGCTGGACTCTTTCCAACTTTTCCACATCCTTTTTAAAGGGGGGGTGGAGGAAGGGTAGGGCAAAACTGGACACAGTACTGCAGATGTGGCCCCACCAGTGCAGAATAGAGCAGAATAATTACTTCCCTTGATCTGCTGGCAATGCTCCTACTAATGCAGCCCAGTATGCCATTAGCCTTCTTGGCAACAAAGGCACACTGTTAGCTCATATCCATCTTATTGTCTACTGTAACCCCCAGGTCCTTTTCTTCAGCAGTGCTGCTTAGCCAGTCAGTCCCCAGCTTGTACTGGTGCATGGGATTATTCTGTCCTAAGTACAGGACTTTGCACTTGTTCTTATTGAACCTCATGAGATTTTCTTTTGGCCCAATCCTCCAGTTTGTCTAGATCACTCTGAATCCTAGCCCAACCCTCCAGTGTATCTACTACACCCTCCAGCCTGGTGTCATCTGCTGCTGAGGGTGCACTCTATGCCATCTTCCATATCATTAATGAAGATATTGAACAAAACCAGGCCCAGGACTGACCCCTGGGATACTCCACTTGATACCAGCTTGCAACTAAACATTGAGCCATTGATTACTACCCATTGAGCCCAACAATCCAGCCTGCTTTCTAGTCACCTTACAGTTCATTCATCCAACCCATACTTCCTCAGCTTGCTTGCAAGAATGTTTTGGGAGATGGTATAAAAAGCTTTACTGATACATCCATGTAGCCAGTTATCTCATCCTAGAAGGCAATCAGGTTGCTCAGGCATGACTTGCCCCTGGTGAATCCATGTGGACTGTTCCGAATTACATTCTTCTACTCCAGGTACTTAGAAATGGATTCTTTGATGACCTGCTTCATGATTTTTCCAGGGACTGAGTTCCCTTGGCTCCTCCTATTTCAGTGTGCTGGACTGTGCAGTATGTTTTTCAATAGAGGAGGTAGAGCAGCAGGAAGTGCAGGACTTCAGAAGAGAAGCACCAGTACCAGATCAGATTGGAGACATGCAACACATTAAAAATATTTGATCGAGGGAAGATTATATTGCTACCATTTGCCATCTATAATTGTGGTACCACAATTACAATTTTTCCATCTTAATCTCATATCAGTCTCCTAATTTCTAACCTCAGTTGTCTTTGATATAGTAGAGGGGTTAGTGTTGCTGCTGAATGAGACTGCTATGAAGTGCAAGGTAACTTCTCTGGAATTATCAGCTCTGACATGCCCCCAGCAGATTTTACTTCTGTCAAAGCTTTTCTCCCAGAACAAAAAAAGAGTGAACAGCTGTTCAGGACAATTCTTCCACAAGAAAGACTGATTTGTAGGAGGAAGATCTCCCCCATCCTGCACTAATTTGAATGTCTGTGGGCCTCGTCTACATGAGACACTGACTGAAGTGCAAGGAGCAGGAGCTGTTCTTCTGCAGCAAGAACTGGGAGGGTTCCTGGTGGGGAGAATGATCTCCTGTCCTGCAAGTTGACTGACAAGATCGGGTGCAGGGCATGGAGGGGTGGAAGAGGGGGAGTTTCTCCCAGGGCGGGAACCCTCCCTAGGACCTTTGTGGCAGCTTCTGGCTGAAAAGTAGTTGCTAACTAGCAATTGACAGATGCCCCCTTCTCAGGCAGAGGCAGGGCCAGCCTTAAGGATGGGTAATGTGGGAAACTGCTCAGGATGCCATGATCATGGGAGCACCACATTCACACACACGCACCTACACACATATACCACCTCTGCCTCCTTGCTGGACTGCATCCTGTGCCTCTACCTCGCTGCCTCTGCCTGCAGCAGTGCCGCTGACTTGAGTGGGGGTAGTGGAAGCTGGCCAGCTGCAGGGCTCAGCAATGATGATGAGGTACCACTACCTGCTGGACAGGGTGTGAGCAGCACTCACTACCCCATGCCCATAACTGGGTCTATGAGTTCTACTACTGCATGAGCCAGCAGCATGCACCCCTCATGCTTCTGCTGCTCATCATCATGGGCACCTGCCTGGTGCTGCTTGCCATCTTCTTTCCCTCAGAGCTGGTAAGAGCCAAGCCCCCACTCATCCCCCCACCATTCTTCTCTTGCCCTGCTAAGCCATCACCGGGGGAAGCAAGTCTGACAATCCAGCCCAGCAGCTCTCTCCGGGGCTTTATTTCTAAAACTTTCACTAATACTACCATATACTTAAACTCAAAGAAAGGGTACCAACATACAGGTTCACCCAGGGCACCATTCTCCTTAGGGCCAGGTCTAGGAAGAGGAGAGGGCAGGCTATCAATTAATGGGCTCCACTAAAAGTGAAGCAGCCCTGTAGTGGCCCCTGTTTGGAGAGCTCCTCTATGTAGCTCTCCAGCCAGGGGGCTGGAATACATGTACATTACAATTCTCGAGATAATTTTCTAGTTGCAGAAATTTTACAGAAATTCTTAGCCTCTAAAAAAAATGCCCATCCACCACCTCAATCAACACAAATCCCACCACTGCCAGGAAGATCTATGCAAAGGAGATTGAACCTTGGTCCACTGACAAGTGAAACCAATGTCTAAAGACAAGGCTGTCTAACTGGCAGCCTGTGGGCTGCATGTGGCCAGTGAGAGTTTAACTAATGGCCCCCAGGGGCCCACCACCCCCATTGCTCCAGGTGGGTTTTGGGGTTCCCTCTTCCTCCTCCACATTTTCTTGCATGTCCCCCACCCCACCAGGGTAGCATAGCACTGCATGTTGCAGCCCATGATGGGGGCAGCCAGGGACCTGGATTGCCTGTGTGGTGCAGAGCAGTGCGGGAGCCCATGATTGGGCAGATGAAGGTGAGATGGGTGCCACTGACAATGCAGCAGAGATGGAGGGAGCCCGTGTGCATAGGCAGCATGCAGTGGGGGAAGTGACTGCCCATGCATGTGCCACATGCAGCCTGGGGGGATCAGGCTGTGGTGCCCATGCCAGGCAACCCCTGCTGGCATAGTTTGTGCAGCACATAGGCTCCAGTCACTTAGAAGTTGGACAGCCCTGCCTAAAGGTCTTCTTAGAGCTAGTTTATAGTACTAGCTAGTTTGTAGTACTGAATAACTTTCACATAGTTAATGAGGCACCTTTGGAAGTAGAAGATTCAAGGTTTTCTTTTTCCAAATCCACTGTGTTCCACTGCTTATTTTACATTGTTCCTCTCAACTTTGACTATGAAAAGTCAGTTTCATTGTTAAGTTCTTAATATTGAAGTGACTGGGATATAAATTCAGGAGGAGAATCACTGTCCAAAACATTTTGGGGATTCTTTTATAGCTTTTATTGCTACTTTCCGTTACATGCAGGAAAAAAGCATTACAGTTCCAATCTATCTAGACGTTTGCACCAAAATTTTCCAATTTGAATGCCTTCAGCACCTACCTAGGAATGTGCAGGGCACCTTTAATTGCCATTGAAGTCTATGGGAGATTCAGACCAACAGCTCCAAAACTCAGGCTGTTTTAAACTGTCTGCATATGCATTTACTTGTCTAAATTTAGGCACCCGAATCTGAAAGTCAGATAGTCTTTATGCTTTTAAACAACAATAAACCAATTTACAGACAAATACACAATGTTTTATTCGGGGAATTTTTTTTATCTGCAATGAAAAAGAACTGTTTAAAAATTTAGAAAAACATCCTATTCTTGGGTTTTTTGTTAAAAGTGTATTTTTCTCCATATTTAATTTTTTTGGCAAATTTGATTTCACTGTCTCTCTCAATCAGTAGGAACAATTCCTGAAGGATAAACTAAATGATACAGCCTTGATGTCTTTTATTGTGAAGTTCAGCTCATATCCTTCAGTTCACATCTACTGAGCAAACCAATTTTTTACACTGCTAAAATCACAGCTGATTTCAACTGCAGCTCGAGACATGAAGGATAATTTTAATTCATATATAGAACAATCACTGGCAAAGGTAACATAACAAAGGGTATAAAAACACAGAATAGATTCATGATTACCTGGGAGGGACTGTGGGGAGAGTTCTTGCACTTCTGGTGTTTTAGATTCAGCAGGCCACAACTGAGTTTCATTCTTTGCTATAAAGGCAGAGGTTAGACTGTAAATATCAGAGCAGCATCTGTTCTGCTTCTGTTCAGATTTATTCCTATCCCACTTCAGCTTGCCAGAATAATCCAAGTTGAATAAATATGAGAAGTCAAATACCCGAGGGACCAATGAACTTCCCCTCACTGCACATCCAGTACCAGCATCTATCTTGCTATCTAAGACCTGCACTGTTTTTACAGCTGTTTTTCTTTGCATCTGATGATCAATACCTTCCAAGTTCGGACATGTAATCATCTCACATGGCCACACAGTCCCGTGAGTCTCAATTCAGTATCAGCGTGAGGCATCACGCTTATGCCCTTGGGAAACTGGTGTTATAAATATAGATGAGAGACTGACTTTGGGCTTCATGTTTTAAAAAAAGGCAAGGATAACTACAGATTTTAAATAAACTGTTTTGTGGCTGCTAATAATTATTTTTAAACTCCTCAGTTCAGGCATTTTTAAAAACAACTTGAGATTAATTAGTTTTACAACCTAAACTGGGAGTTAGTCCTTGCAAGGTTCAACAGACAGGACATAATTCCAGAAGTTTTGCAGAAGAGTTAGATAAATTTCCAAAAACTGTATACAAGTCAAAGGAGCCTTTATTCTAATGAATGATTTATTCTCCTTCAAATAATACTTGTATACATTTAATCTTAACGACAGTGACATTTCATTTTCGTTTCAATGCTTGTTTTAATGCTCAGCTAAAATGGTAGCACACAAGAGTAAATCTAAGAGGGGTTCAGTGGTGTGGTGACATCTCCCTTTGATTATTGTTCCACTCAAAGTTTAAAACGAATTGCCTGGCAGTGGTAGCAGCATTTCTATTCAGGCAGAAGTGAGGGAGTGAATTAACTTCATGTCTGTTTATAATCTACCTGATTCCTGCTAAACTCTCTTCACTCCACAGGTGTTAACTACTCTCTCTCCTTTTTAATGGATTTAATGTTCCCCTAATCAAGTTATCCTTTCTTCAGCATTTTTACTATCAGTCAGCTACTCAAATAATTTAGCTCTTATTTCACAACCCTGCAGATGGTTTTTAGCGCTAGCTAAAAACATGAACTCTGGTAAACTCTGGTGTGGAAGTAACTGTCAGTGAAGTGTTGGATGCAATGTCATGGTGCTCAAGGTGTTTATCACTCCTAACTCAGTGTTTATCATTCCACGAAGAAAACAACAGAGGGACTGTGACAGGGGGCCTTCCCAGGGGTAGATCATGAGTTAGCCCACCCACCTGCCTAGGGCAGTCTGCCCTGACTCTCCTGCCATGACTTGAATGTTATCATGTTATATTAAGCGGGAGGCTGCCCATTCACTACCCCGATGCCAGGTGGTGTTATCCACAGCTCCGAATCTCTCCTACATCGTGGCCCATGTCTCATAGATGGCATCCAGAATATTATTATTGCACCCTGGCTTCAGGCTGAACCAAACTCAATCCATTGTTGAGCTTCTTTCATAGTTTCATCTCACAGGAGCGTCTTGCACTCTGCTCATCACTGGGACACTCTCTACTTCCCTGCTCCCTTGAGTGACCCTTTGGCCGTCAGGCTTGCCTACTCATTCTCTGGCATGGCACACACAGCACCTTTGGTTCACTCAAGTTCCCCTACTCTACATGGCCCTGTCCTTCTACCAAACCCTGGACTGACTCTGCCCCTAGCTCTTCCCTGGGGAAAAATCCTTCCTATCTCAATCTTGTGGGGGTTGGCTCATGTGCAATCCTTCAAGTCGCCCGAGGCAACCCTACTTTACACACCTCCAGTGTAGCTCTTCAAGCCTGTTCATGCAGACACTACTTGACATCCCCAAACGCACAGTTCTTGAGGCGCCACTGTGCACCCTACTCTATGCGGACCTCCAACATAACACTACCCCCACCTTGGGGCCTATGGGGTCCTATACCCCTACAGGGCTCAGGGGCTTCTCTATAGGTGTGCCTGGCTCATCTCTTTGTCCTCTCACTAGGGCCACTTCCTCACAGGCTGATGATTACCCACTGAAGAGTGAGGCCTGGGTTAAGTCACCCCTACCCACCTTTCACCGGGGAGGTAACTGGCCTGGAATTTCTTGGGGGTTTGGGGGTGGTCCCACCACAGACAGCCCTGCCAAACAACCCTTCCCTGACAGGGTGCAGTTTCAACTCATGCCCAGGACCAGAAGCCTCCTGCCATCCCCATAGCTCCTGCCCTTACCTCCAAGATGTTCTGAGCAGCATCTTAGCCAACTGTTGTCCAGCTGGCTGCCAGCAGCAGACTGCTGCTGCTGTCCTGTGGCCCTAGACTTAAAATGGCTGACTCATCAGAGCTGGCCTGCACCTGGCTGGCTGCTCTCAGCCCTTAAAGTGCATGGCCACAAGGACATTACCAACTACCTGTTGATTCTGCCTGTTGAATCAGCATAGACCATAGCCAGCATGTGGTCTTCTAGCTAATAGAAAGACACCTCTCATCAAGGCAGAGGGGAGGGGGGAAATCCTGCTTAGCAGGAAGTGGTGAGGGGAGGAGGGAAGCAGTCCACAGTCTGTGCTGGAGCGGAGGGGCCAGCCCTGCTGAGAAGCAGAGAGCCCCGCCCAGCCCGGAGAGCATGCTGGGATGCTGGGGAGTCTTAAACCAGTGAGTAGTCTGGGGCAGACATGGCATAAACCGGTTTGATCCAAATCAGTTTAGTCTGATACTAGATTCAGCCAGGTTTATCTCAAACCGGTTTCAGCCATTTTCAAACTGGTTTATGTGCATTGAACATCTGTTCTGTTACATGCTTAAACCAGTTTCTAATCACTTAAACTGGTTTATGTGTAATGTCTGTCCCTAGCCCCAGGGGGACTGGAGACGGAGGAGGAACCCACCTGTTGCTGTTGGTACCATTGTTCTAGGCTGAGTCTCCCCATGCAGCCCAGCTGGAATAGGGCTGGAGCAGTTCAAGAAGCTCCCCCCACCCTTGGGATAACCAAAAAAGGTAGAGATAATGGTAGTGGCAGGTGGGGAAAAGTGGGAGACATGCCATTGAGCATGGAGGGGAAGAGTGCGGGGGAGAGGGGCAGAATTTTTACTTGATTTGAGGACTTAAAAATTTGTCTCCAGCAGCTACTTTGGTCAGGTGGTCTAAAAGGAAGGTGCAACTCTGCCACCGCATTCCATTTGGATCGGTCCCTAAAGCTGTACGTCCATGTCTCATTTTAAGAAGATCCAGACTGCCTGTTGGATGCAGAAGTCCTTGCACCTAAAAATTCTGCATGCTCTCTAGGGTGAATTCTACTGCCCATCTCTGAATGGAAAGGCATTCCTTTCTTGCAGGGTAAGTAGACTTTTAGGGGTAAAGGACTGTGAAATGATCCTGAGTCTTGCATTCTAAAAAACAAAAAATTACTTCCTTGTCTTTGCATAATATGTACTGAAAAAGTAAGTGACTAGTCAAAGTGATTTTTTACTTTTACTGATGTTAGTGGTATTTTATTTTGCTAACTGCAGAATGCAATATATCATGGTTTATTATAATCATGGTAGTATAAACAAATATCTATCTAGCTATGAAGCAATAAGACAATGAGTGGGAAAATGAATGCCATGACCTTGATACAAAAAAATCACCCTCTGTATTCTGTTTAACTCCAGAGAGTATGATTCAATCTTTCTCTTTAGTTATACAGATCATTTATTTTATGTCACAGCTGAAGATAATAGTATTCATCTTGCCAATGGCATCAGATATTTCCTTTTGGTATTCAAAGCACTGCTTCATTCAAAAACAATTTTAGGTTATCCCACTGAATAGCCAAATCCTAAAATGAGCACAGTATCATCCTACCTTGAGCAGGAGGTTGGATTAGATGACCTCCTGAGGTCCCTTTCAACCCTACTAATCTTTGATTTTGAAGAATCAAAGAAGAAGACACTGCACCTCTGCTTTCTTAATGTATAGTGGACTCACACTGAGAAATTGTGAAGGCCAGCAATGGAACAATAGGTAAATGAATGAAATGGCTCATAAGAGAAGATAATCTTCATCTTTATATCACCAGATCAAAATTAGCACTAATGCTAAAAAAATCAAAAGCAAGTGGCCTTTCTGATATGAGTTGGTGACCTCACTGCACCTTTGAAATAAAAAGTGTGCATGCTACACAACCAGTGCTCACAACAGGCACCTCAGTTAGCAATCTCAGACAAAAGCATTAGTGCATTCTCTCACCTACACTTTGCCCCTTCAGTTTTGAGGTACATAATGAGGTAACTTGCACTGAGAGTGTTTTAACTTGCTTTCAGTATGCATTTTATTATGGATAATGAACAAGCATTTTCTATTTTCTGGGATGAGATTTGTATAAATGATGGAGACCCCATAGAAGGCAATAGAACTACACAACTGTGACTAACTGCCCTAAAAATATGGCATAATAAATAGACTGATAAAATGAATTACATTTTTTAAATATGCATTAATAAAGATGGAAAATATAAAAATAAAAACCCAAGCCTATTGGAAATAAGCTGTTAATACACAAATAACATAAATACGGCCTTTGCCCCTGGTGCTCCAAGTTACATTTTCTACAGAAAAAAAAATCTGAAGCTAGTGAAATGCTTATGGGAGTTTTAAAATAAGTAGGTGCCTACAAAGAGCCTCTTCCAATTGGAAACAAGCTGTCAACCAAAACAGTTCAAAGCAAATGCTCAAAATAAAACAAACCACTAAAGCCAATGAGGTTTATCTCAGAGTGGTGCTATATTTTTTGGCCCCCAGGTTGGATAAGTGGTGCAGGGCTGGTCTGTGGGTCAGATTGGGTCCTGCACTGCCTCCATCATCCCTGTCACCTGGATTGGGCCCCACATACCTCCATGGGTCCTATGCCACCTCTGCCCGTCCCCTGCATGCCAAGATAATATTTTTATTGCTCATGTTCAAGAACCGTAACAGCTTAAAGCCATTTCTACTTACAGAATTTTTTCTCGATTGTTTGAGATATATCGTCTATCGACAGGGCAGGAGGGAGTTTTTTCAGGCTTTCATTGAGACCTGGAATGATAAGATGCACTACACACAAAGATAAGTGAGCCATTCACTCAAAAGATGGTGATCTGTAATCTGGGTGGGCAATTTCCACCTCATCAGTGGGAAAGTAGTACAAGTATCTGAGAGAAGAATTCAGATGTTTCCAGATGTCTAATTATTAATCACAATGTCCAATGCTACTCTTCTACCTCACTACTTTATCACTACTCTTTTACTGCCCTTCTCCATGGAAATCAAATATATGTGAAAAGTGTAGTGGCCCTATCAATTCAGCATCATGATAGGTGCATTCTAATTGGACATACCTGGAATTCACAGATTCATTTTGTGGGGTTAGTGAGGAACTGACTGAGTCTAGTCAGAGCAGTAAAACTCACAGACAGCAAGTTAGGCCAGACAAATACCACGCAGGCAGAGATTTTCCATGCACAACAAGTTAAATCTATTTCTGAGTTCCATAACGTTATACTAGGAATAATTTTATCTTAGGATACATCAGGTAAAAGGTTCCCAATTTTACTACGTACCCTCTTACTATGCTTATTCTATCCCCCACTTCCTGCCACTTCCTTGTGTGTGAACACCAGGACAGAAAACACACACAACTGAATGGGAAAGGTAAACAGCAGTGTACTGAGACCCAACACAAAGAGGAATGGGGAATCTTAGAATACCCTTTAATAAAAGCTGGATATATTAGTACAAGGCTATACAACAGTTCTGAATGACCACGGCACAAATTATACCCAGCAGACGTTCTCAAAAAATGTGCACCAAACCTCTCTCTCTTCCCCTGTAGTAAGAAAATGCTATTTTTGGATAAGACAGAAATAATTTTATTTTTTTTTAATATTCAGGACGGTCCTTTTCTCCTCTTAGGCTGCATCATTCCTTACCAACTTTACTGTGAGATGTAATGAATAAAATCTGAACCCAACTCACGGTGCAAATTAATATGAAAGACAACAATTAAAAGTAAGAAAGTGAAAAAGATGTATGCAGTTCTTTTATTATATGCCAGAGAATTAGAAAAAAAATTGATATTTACCTAGTATTGGCAGAGAGGATCTGTCTCTGTCTGTGGTTTTAGGTGAGGTCCGTTGTGTGATATTTTGAATGACTGTGGAAGCAATAATATTGCATTATCAGAGAAATTTACAAATATTTAGCCAGGAAATAAAAGTGCATGTCTGTCTGAATGTTCTCAAAGCTTCTTTAATTCAGATTAGCACCATTTAATTAGAATATTAATGGAAAAGAGGGCTGAACATAGTCCTAGTGAATTAATCCAAAGAGGGTTGTCTAAGGATATAGGGTTTTGTAGTATTTACTTAGCCATAGTAACAGATATTTTTATACCAGCTTGGCTAAAAAACAGATTTTAAAGGAGCAAAATTTTCTCTGCCTGAGAATAAGGATCCTTCAATCCTATATCCTGTTCAAGAGGGGCCAACACAAAATGCCTCAGAGAAAGGGGAACTAATACTCATAAAGGATATTTATATATCAAATTGCTTCTTCACAAAAAAGTCTTTCCAGCCTTGAGCCTTCAGTCATTTGTTTATGTCCTGAAGCACTAGGTCTGATATGTTTTATCAATTTTATCCTGGATGTTATAAATACAGATATAAATTATAGAATCAAATCCTTTTTCAATCCCACTATTTATGTTTCACATGGAATACATCATAAATATTAAAGGACATTCAACTTTTTTTGGCAATTATTTACTTTAAAGGTTAAAAGTAATATGACAGCATCCACAAATCTTCAAAAAAATCTTAATGAATTATCTGCAATTAAAACAGTCTAGATAAAGTATGCTAGCAAAATGGGACTCAGTGCATGCTTCAATTATAAATCTCTGCAATGATGAGCAACACTGGCCAATACTGGAGGGGAATGCTTCCTGGATGGATTGCGTGTACCAGCCGGTCTGCTTCTGACAGTAGCATAACTTGGTGTGGGTGATTGGAGTATTAGCCCCAGGCCTCAAGTTAGAGGAGGCACCAAAAGGGTGCCCCCGCCTCACCCTCCCCAGGGAGCCTGCACAGAAAAGGGTGCAGGAATAGCCAACCATACGTGAGGAGCCCATGTGACAGTAGCAGCAGCAATGACAGGAGCAGTGATGATAACAGCGGCAGCTTGCTGGCAGCATGTGGGGAGCCTGTTCATCAGTAGTGGTAGCAGCAGCCCACAGCATGAGAGGACACTACACTGCGGCAGAAGTCTTTGGAGTCTCTTCCCTGTTCAGCATCAACCTTGTCCTGCCCAGTGTTACAAAACTCCCAGTTATGCCTTTAATTCAGACACCCTCAGAAGGTTGCATCATACACAAAGCCCCTGGAAAATGCCTGTTGACAAACCACAGTACTGTGTGATACAGAGAAGTGGAAAAGGGCTCAAACCTGGGCATGTACGTGTTCTTGTGACCTAAGTCACAAGCTACTACATTTAATCCTCTGACACCAGCTCCCATCTGTCATTTCTGCTGAAGAGTTATCCAGCTGTCAGATGGGGATGATAACTGTGACTGCTCACAATAATTTAGTGAGGATTCACAAGTTAATGAGCTCAGTCTGACATTCAGTCACACAGAGGATAAGGTTCTATGTTATGAAGTGGTTTGAAAACACAGATAAAGATAAGGGTCATATAGCTAGTTTGTCAAAATAAAATCTGAGGTTTTCATTTAAGCCATGTATTATTATTGTCATTACATATCAGTATTTGTTCAAAACTCTTTTGGCTTGCGAAACGCCCGGCTTAAAATAAAGGCAATTTCACAGCATATTAAATAAGCTTCCATATTTCTGTTTCTATGGAAATTTGCTTTTTTAATTTCCAAGAACTTATCCCCTAAAGATGGTTTTTCATGTGCTTCAAATCCCAACGTGCTGCAGTGCATGTTGGTTTAAGCCTATTCACACATGGTGCTGGTTTAATGAAGTAAATCACACCTGCTGCACAGACTATGCTCTTTTATGGATGAATGGAATTTTTATTTCTAAGAAATAAAAAATGAGACACATTAAACATCTGTAAAACAAATACAAGAAGCCATCCCTGAAAACAACTATTTTTTTCCAGGAATACGTATTGGAAATATATTCCCTATGGCTTCTTCCAAAGGTTTTTGTATTTCATTTTTCTAAATCCTTCCTAATTAAAAATGCTGAAGATGAAGTTAAACATATACTCTACAGAAAACGAACTAGTTTGAATATTAGTTTAAAAAGAGACAATATCACACATTTGTTGTACCAGACACAACTTATAGGGGATTTACTTATCAGTAAAAGCCAAGATACCAAATATTTTCCAGAGGATCAGGGGGCTAGAAGGGGATTCCTGCATCAGGATTCACTGCCCTAGGTTAAAAAACAGCCATTTATCAAAGTTCTAAAATTGTTGTCTTCTGCACATCTAACACAACACAGCCACCAAGCACCTGATAAAAACCAAACCGAAATCACCCCACTAGAGACCACAGTAAAAAGCAGGTTGCTAAGATGCTCTGAAATAGCAGTGAAATGGAGAAAATAATTTGGGAGGTTTCAAAATATCCCAATTTCAAGATAAAGTAACCAAAATTTCCTTTCTGAATGTTCCACCATTAGATTTCTAATCCAAGTCATTTCCAGAAGTCCACAAAGTGGAGTCACAAGCAGGAAGAAGAAAGATGTGTGAAAGCACATCTCTACCTAGTCAGATGTATTGCTCCTCCAAGAAGAAATAAACATTTTCCCTATTACAAGGAAGAAAACACCATATGGCTTCATCTCCAAAGTTTCTCAAATACTGCCAAATCTAAATTCTTCTATGTAAAAAGCTGTAACCAATCAAGAGTCCCAGCAACAGAAGAATTAGTGAAGCGCTGCTTACACAACACTGCTTACACAACACTTCTAAAATGTCATGGTCCATTCTTCCTTGAAAACCTTGGAAGTGAATTTTTCAAAGAGCACTCTCTTTCTCTGGGTTTGTGAAGACAGAGAGGACTTTCCCAGGAGATCAAGTTACATATGATTTTTATCACAAGAAGGTCTTATCAACAAAGAAGCACTAGGTAACACAAGCTGCTGCTTCTAATTTTAACCACCACAATATCAAAATCATACAAATAAAGTCAACTACACAATAATTATATTTTGCAAAAATGTGGTGAAGGAGATAGAACACACCTCTGCCATATTTCTAAAAAGGAAATAAGAATTTTCTTGTCCAATACATTTCCAAAAGCCTGTATCTTCTCTTTCTCTCTTTGACTGTACCTAGCGCTTGGTTATCACTTTCTATTGAGATGTTTCACTGATGTTTACAGACAAAAGCTTGACACTACTAAACAGACTTTCATTTGCCATTTCCATTCTTCCCTGCCCCTAATACGATATTTACTAAATTCTAAGATTAGGCCCCCCTTCATTTAACATGGGGGAAATGCCCTTGGTCTTCATGTACAAGAGAGGCTGGGGGAGGAAGGTGACTGCTGTGGCTCAGGCTCTAGCCCCTACTTGGGGTTGGGACTGCAGTCATATCAACAGCCGCAGCCACAGCCACAGCCACTGCCTACCCTCCACCTTCACTGCTTCTGAACCCTGCCATCTCCCTCTTCCCCACCCCACAGCCTCTGCTCTCCCACCTGCCCCTGTTTCTTCCCCATCCTGTACCTTTGCTTTCTTGCTTTCTTCCCCCATTATGGCAGGCTCCATCCATGATACATCCTCAGGCACGGTGGCATGCAGCCTGCACAGCTGCTATGGGAATGGGGCTCAGTGCCCGAGGCTGCAGGATAGATGGAGCCTACCAGCATGGAGAGGAGGAAATTGAGGCTGGAGCAGACTAAGAAACAGAGACTGGGCATGTGGTAGAGAGGAAGCAAGGACTGGAGGGTGTTGGCACTGGATGTATAACCCAGATACCTTGTTCTGGATGGACCCAAAACCCTTAGGCCAACCATGACCTTTCCATTTATTTTTATTTATATATCACCAGTCCCTGGGTTCACAGAGTCAAGATGCATCTGGCCAGTATGCAAGCTTCACTCTGAGGTTCTCTCTTGAATATTAGATGTCAACAGCCTGGAGGTTGAAGGTCGAGGTCCACCTCCCCTCCATTGGGGTGGGTGAGACAGGCTGGTGGTATGCCCTCTGTCCATGATGGCCTTGGGTTTCCCTCTGAGGGACCCTTTGCTGCTCTGAAATCCCTCCTTTTGTATTCTTTCTTCTCCTCTGATTACACTTCACCTCTGGGCATTGCTGATTGGTCTCCCTGTGGTTGTCATACTCTCCTGTCAGCATATTCCTTAGTTTCACAAACCCATCACATGCACACATCTTACTTCGGTTCTTTCTGGTGTCCTCCTAATTTGGTCTATCTACCAAAACCAAAAATCCCAAGGGCTCCGAAGTTTGGCATTGTGACTTGCAGAGTCCTTTATCTCTGTTTGGGTACACTGGTCATGTTATGAAACAGTGTAGTACATGCCTTCAGTTTCTCAGCCTGTGTGGCTGCTTGCTTCAGACACAGTGGGCCTTGAAAGAAACTTTGTAAAAACAGGCTTTTAGAAATCAATTAATCCTGCCATTCCCCCGGACCATTGCTCTACTATACCTACAAGCCAATTCCTAAAAACAAACCTCTAAATACTATTTTCTATCCATCAAAGGGGAGGAACAGACAGGGAAGTAGAGGTGGAGGGCATGGGGGAGGTGTCTGAGGCTGTGGGGGGAGGCATGCAGGGGGCACAGGTGGCAGGGGGTCAGGTACAAGCAGGGAGCAAGCTGCTTGACCTCCCCATACCATCTGCCCCCTGACTGCCTGCCACCCTGCAGTAGTGCAGTTGGGGGGATGAATTAAAGATGATGCCCCAATAATTACATTCTATTAATGGAAAATTGTAACAAGTTTACAAAATTTCCATGTATAGAATCTAATTACTGGGGGCTTATCTTAAATTCAGGGTCATCTTAGATTTGAGTAAATACAGTACTATCCTTCCACACACCTTAGTTTTGGCCTGAAAACAACTATAAACAACTATATATTTTTTAATGAACCCTACCCCACAGAAGGAGGGAGCTGAGGAGCTGAGGCAACATCTTGAACATCTGGAATGATAATCATTGTGTTTAGTGAACTGTTGGTCAAAGAAATATTCTTGCAGCTACAGGAGAAAAGTCAACTGAAAGTCTGAAAACTGCCATAATTGTGTCTGGGATTGCATGTCAAGACTGAGTGGGGACTGGAGAAGGTCAAGCTTCTTCATAACACAGAAACATAATATCAACAGTGATTCAGCCTTTGTTGTTTTCCCATGGCTCAGGGTCTGTAAATGCTGCCCTTGGCCTCTATGGGTGTGTGTAGATGAAACAGGGGCCCTAAATTTAAGCGGTGGGTTTTTAAAAACACCACTTCAATTTAGGGCCGATTAAATGCCTGCATTGTGCACACACCCAGCTTACCTACCTCTCCAGCAGCGGGGAGGGGAAGGCAAGCTGCCAGCAGGTGGAGCGGTCCCTGGGTTGCAGGGGGCAAGCTGGTGCTTCCCTCTGTGGCAGTGGTGGTTCCCCCCCCAGGCAGCACCCGCCTGCAGGCACTCAGCTTGGGCAGTCCTGGGAGCACCGCAGCCACAGAGAGAAGCACCAGGCCCCTGCTCAGCTCAGGTAGGCAGGCAGGCTCCAGGGGAAAGAAAGAAATAAAAAGTTTAGGCTCGTTGCTTTTCTTGGGCAGAGGTTGCCTTCACGGGATGCTGCTAAGCTGCCTGCAGGGCTTCCTGCAGAGCCACAGAGCTGCACAGAGCCCAGTGCTTCGCTCTGCAGCTGTAGGGGCAGCAAACTAAAACTCCTTAGAGAAGTTTCACTTTGCTGTGCCCCAAGTCATTTAAAGCACATTACACCACTGAATTTCTTACAGCAGCTGGAATTAATGCGCAATACACCATCGAGTTGTGCAAACACTGACAGCATTAAAGTGGTGCAAAAGCATTTAGCCTGCTTTAAAGTGTCATGCGCACATGCCCCTCGTTTTGCCTACACACAACCTATGACTTGATCAGGCAATGGTCAAATAACACAGATGGGTGGGCACAAAATGTTGACTGTGGCTATTGTTAGAGAACCATGAAAGTAAAGAGAATACAAGAAGAATAAACTTTTCCTGTAGGCCATACAACATCATTTCAGGAGCTTCAAGGCGGCAGCTAAATTGCAGATTTAAAAACTTACATCCTGCAAAGACTGCAGACCCTAATATGAAGTCTCCCCAACTAAAGGCTATTCAGATCAATGTAGGAGGTTGTTTGCTACACCTCTATATTCAGTAGAATAGGGCAGCAGGCTACATTAAAGAAAAACAGGGTCTGGATTTGGCCTTGTGAGAGCCACTTTATCTGCCAGAAGTAGAGGAGTAACTGGCCAGTTCTGCATCCTGGTTGGTGCATGGAGCAGTAGATGGTAGGGAAGATGTCTCCTTTTTTGTCACATGTGTTGAACAACCATTTAAAACTCCAATTTGGAACAGCTGAAAAGGAGGTGACATCGCCCCACAGCAGCAAATGTCCACACATTGCTCCTGCATTGTGTGCTGCCACCACCCAGGGCACTATGCACTGATGGTGCTGCTCTGCCTTTCCCACTTCTGGAGCCACTGTAGAGAAGGTACAGGGTGTGGGTGGGTAGGAGAAGGAGGGGGATAGAAGGGAGAGGCACTCTCATAGCTCCATTCCAGCACCCTGCCTTAGGCAGCACCTGTGGCTGGTGCCCTGCTCACCCACTCATTATTATGCTACTGGCCACCAGTACACTGTATGCATAGCAGCAAAAAACAGGCATGTTGAAGGGAAGAAGGGATGGGGCTTTCTACTTCAGATGGAGTAAAAAGATGATATCTACCTCAACAAAGCCTGTAGTTTAAGATATTAAATGAACATTCAGCAAAATATATCCTTAAGCAGTATCACTTTGTAAACACAAATGAAAGATGCCCATGTAAAGAAAAGGTAAAGAACCTGAACAGTTCTAATATGAATGGAAAGCAGCAAATGGAGAATATGTAAAACTTGGTACTGAAGTATAACTAGAATCTTATGAAGATGCTATAAATCTGTCATTCCCTAAAGCAAATATCTCACCGTATAGTGCAGATTTAACCTGAGATGCATGGTGTTTCTTTTTCACCTCTGGCTACTTGGTGGGACAAAACTAGGTTATCACAGGTCAGCTGGTAACCCTAAGCAGTTGGGGGATGCTAGTAGAAACTGGAATGCGAGTAGAAAACTGCAAAGGGTTACTACTCAACAAAGGAAGTCACTTGTTTATTGCAGTGTAAAATCGCCATTTAAAAATAGAGAGAGAGAATAGTTTAATTACTTTTTAAAAAGAAAAAAAGTCACAGTTTCTGAGGCTCAACTCATTTGGGTTTGAAGGAAAGTTTCACCAGGCAGCCCAGGCATATTGTTGATGTGCCCTGTTTTTTCATTCCCTTTAACAGCCATTTGTTTTCCTTGTTGAGAGCACAAATATCAAACATGAAGAAATGAACAAATTACCTTGCTTGATAATTGTAACAGGGACAAGATTCTTAGGATCTCGCAGTGTGAGCTGAAAAAAGAAGAAAAACAACATAAACACTGGGATTTGTGCTACAAAAAGTAAATCAGATTTCCTTGGTAATGCAAATACAGGGCTTTGATCCAGAGCTTCACTTGGCCTAAGCTAGAGTGAATATAGCTCTGGCTCAGTCACTGAGGATTACATTATTGTTTCAATCCTTGTTGGCCAGAGTCAGAACAACACATTTTGATCCCTTTCATTTGGCTTAAGCCACTTGTTTTGCTCAGTATAACCACAGTGTCTGACTGCTCAGGAATCCCTTCAGCTCTCTTATCTTTAAGGAACTTTTGAATATACCCTGTAGAGTACTCAAGAAGCCCTGGTGATGCAACTGTGTAAAGTAAGACACAAAACTTCCAAATCATATAAAATTCAACTCAGTTTGCTACAAGCTCTAAATTCAAACCAGATTAAGTTGGACAACTGATTTCTCAGGATGATAAGCCAGTCACAAAGGGCTCAAATAAAGAGGACTTCATGTGTATTGCTTTTGATATTCAGATTGCAAATATCTGTACTTCTCTAACACTGCCTTTTGATGTAGAGTAGTTTCTAAGTGTGTTACACAGTACTTTTTGGGCAGCTCCTGGAGCTCTTAACCCCTGAATTATCCACACATTAACACCTTCAAGTGGTTTTAAGCATTTGTTATGAGGTCCAAAGTTATGCCACTCCAGGACAGAATTATTTCTGATCCGCACTACCCAGCTCCTTTTCCACTAAGGTGTGTTGCCCACGTTGAAGTCCTCCAGTATCCTAGGATCTCTCTCACCCTCACTGGTACAGCAGGGATAGAAGCCTACCCTAGATCACCAGCCCTCTAGTACCAACTCACAGCTCCAGCTCCTAGTCCTGCCCCTGCTCACCAGGCCTCTACTGGCAAGTCACAGCTGTGCAGGTGGGGGACAGTCAGGTGGTTTTTAGACTAATGGTATGACTGCTCCAAAGTCCAAGTGAGCAGTAACACCGACCAACATTTATGCAACTCACAACATAAGGTGTAGGAAGGGCCTGTGAATTTTTTCCAGTCTTAAGCTCAATAATCTTGAGCACATGAGTGGCCCCAACATTTCTCAGAAGGAAGAGGGAAAAAACAGATCTTGTGATATAAGTGAGCTTTGACTACCCTTTTGCTTATGCAGCTATAAGAGCCAATTTTTCAAAAGTACTATAGTACAATGACTGGAAAAGGACCAGGCTGAAAGTACTGCCAGAATTAGGAATACTAGCTGAAGCTATAAAATGTAATCCTTTTTTCAGTCAAGTTGAGTTTAAAGGAGGAATAGAACTCAACAAACAAAAACCTTTCTTGGCTAAACATATAGTGTATAAGGTCATCATGAGTTGATGAGTTAATACTTTATTTTATACTTCACAATATCACTGATCTAATTTATTTTGTGAAAATCCATTTTAGGCAAAAAAAATTATAAGGTTTTTCAGACACTTAAAAAAAAAAGTATAGTTTAATCTGGGACAAATTCTTGTATCATCATTTGAGATCTCATTATGGATCATATTTATGGTCTCCACATTTTGGATCAACCAACGTTATCAAATTGAAACCGTAGAAATGTTACTAAAAAAAGCTGTATTGCACTGTGGGAGCAACAAATCTGCTTTAAGTGGATTGCATAATTTTATCTGGAGGTTTTAAGTACTGCGTTAGATCCTATTTCACCTACTAAGTGCCATAAGTTATGTACGAATGTAGATTCATAGCTGATTTAAAAGGGGAATGGGAGCATGCAGCAGCTGTTATGCTTTAAGTGTTGTGTCTCCATAAGCCTGCAGCGATACAAGTGAGCCAAATTGCATTAAGTTTACCCCTGGATGAAGCAGGAATAAGTTATAGCGGTTCTGCTAAACTTGGATTGCTATAGACTCAAGCAGATTTAATCGTTGCACTGTGACAGCTTATATTAATTTCCTTTGATAACAATGCAATTTTTATGTTGCTCTATAATCTAAGGTCATGTGCAGGTATTATGTTTCTACCAGGAGAATCATTGCTCTTCTAGTAAAAACTAGGGGTGTAGAAATACTCATTAAATTTCTCTTGGGGTCCCTGGTCAGAGGAACAGGGTGGGGAGTTGCCACACTCTCTGCTCAGTTCCCAATCACTGGGAGCTGAGCGGTGGAGTGACTGCATCTTGCTCCCTGCCCACTCCTTAGGCAGTGCCTGTTTTGGAGGAGCGCAGCTACTTCTGCTCCCTAACTCGTTCCCAAACTGAGTACTGTGTGGCTTGGGGAAGGAGCTGGGGGATTTGCTCCAGTCTGGGAAAGGCGCAGAGAGTCTTCCTTTACTACTTGCTCTATTTCCCCTGGGGACCAGAAGGACTGCAGTAACCACTATTCCCCATGCATTCCCAAAACTGGGATCATCCCAGGTGGGTGAAGGTGAAGAGAATAGGGGGGATGCCACAGTTTCAGGCTGAACACCTGTACACTCCCTCTTCTGGAAAGATTTCTGCTGGAAACGAAATGAATGCCCGTTCGCGGACTAAGTGTGATCCTATTTCACCCTGCTTATATCCCTAAAAAATGCCTATTTTTGCAACACACCATCATCTTCACCTTAAGACCAAGTCATAAAAGGTAGCAATGAGGATTGCATTAATTGTTTTTTAGGGACTCAAGTAGAGTTGAACAGAAGCACCAAGTCAATTTAGGTGGAGTAGGATCTGACCTATATAGTGTGCCCTTCTCCTTTATAAGCAAAGAAAAACGAAACCCCAAATTAAAAAAAACAACAGATAAATATCTTCCTGACTGAAGATTATCAAGACATTGTCAGCCTAATCTAGGTTGGAGATTAGGAGGAACTTTTTGATGACAAGGGTGGTCAAGCGTTGGAACAGGCTACCTAGAGAACCTGTGGAATCTCTATTCCTGGACATTTTCAAGAGTAGGTGGGATAGATACTTTGTTGGGATGCTTTAGTCAGGGATGATTCTGCCTTAAGCAGGGGGCTGGACTACATGACCTTAAGAGGTCCCTTCTAGTCCCACTTTCCTATGATCTTATGATCCTATGACAGTAGTAATAATAAACATCTCTGTGCCTTCTGCAAAAGGTTGTAAGTATGTATTAACCAAAGGAACCCACAATCCAGTTATTTACTTGTGACCCAAAGACTGTGTTCCAAGATAATTTTGTTTAAGCAGCAGCCATAACTCCTCTAACACTTATGGCTGTTTATGTTGATGGAGATGCCAGACTTTGGATAAGTCTACTTGCAGACAGGGCTGAAGTGAAGACAGAATGGCTGCGACTTTACCTACCGCAGGGACAGAAAATTCCCCCAAAGCAGGCAGAGCTGTTTGGAAAGGAGACACTACCAGAACTGCTGAGCATGCTGGGTGTACTGAGTGTTGCTTTTGGTGCAGGGGTTTTGCTAGTACAAGCAAAATTGTGATTTATACCTCCCCCATATTAAGGTCTTCTGAATTAAGAGGATTGGTGGGCTGGAAAGTTCCTTAAACAAACTCTGCCTAAAACATTTCCAAAACCTTTAAAAGAAAGGGACTAATTATTTATTCAACCACATATCAATTTTTTACAGCTAATGTTCCCAATGTTTCAGGGCAATGCAAAGAATTACTCTTATTGTGCATAATATGCAAGAAGGCAAAACAGATAATAGGCCATAACTGATAAGTAACCTCATTAATTTAAGTAACATTAACTTTTACTGTGATAACTGACTTCAGATTTTCCTCTCTATATCAACTCATTTGGACTGGGCAGTTCAGTGCATTTAATCCAGAGAATATGTCTTTAGGCATGGTGCTGAACAGATCAGAAAAGGAGCACAGCTAGTTATTACATTCTACCTGCTGCAATATAGAACATTTATAGTACCACGGAGTTCTGGATCAGAGATTAAGAGACATATAAAGAAACTTTCATCCAAGGAAAGTGATGACTAAAATTGTACTAGATACCACAGTTCTAGGTGATGTGTTAAACAGTAAATGGTAAAATAGTTAATCAACTTAACTGAAGAAAATTGAGCTGCATGGAATCACATTACTCCTTAAAGCTCCAAACATGGAGTGATATGCATTATAAGGGCACTTTCATGCCATATGCCAAAGAATCTTCAGATCAAGATAAAAAAAGCTGTTACCATTAGAGTGGAGCACTAGATAGCTTTAAGATAAGAGGCTCTTCAGCTTTATATCTTGTCACCATTACAGTTCAGTCTGTCTGTATGTTTGCTGAGGAAGAAATAAGATATCTTGACCTGCTTCATCACATCACTGGTGTACTCCATCAGATCTCTCTCTCTTTCTTCTCAAATTTAGGTACCTTATAGTTCTGTGTTTAAAGTGCCTAACAGTTTGGGAAGTGGATAGACATAAACTATCTTAGGCTGAAACTTGATAAAACTTGCTTCCAGAGAGGGGAAAGTATTTAGAGACATGGACTGGGACCATGAGAAAGCCTTTTATTGGAGCTGTACATAAATATGGTTCTTTCCAATGTGAATCACAGACTCAGGGCAATCTTCTATCTGGTTCAGTTCTTGGAATCTTAACTACCAGCTGTGACAACTAGTGTTGTCTTTCTATTCCTGATTGTCCAGGAGGCCACTGTGGTTCCACTCAAGTGAACATCTGTTCTTACAATTCTTTCTACCAGCCTTTCTAAACATCTCCTTTTTACACATAATCCTCACAGATTACCTCATGTTCACAAGACTTGAAAATGGGGTGGAGTCTAATGCATCTGTGCTAGCTAGTTCAGTTGCTGATTCAATTCGGCGGAGATTTGGCTCGATTCAGTGGCCGAATCTCTGAATCTGAGTCGAATCAGGAGACCCTTTAATCTCTCTGAATTGAATCGGAACCCTCCAAATCGATTCAGAGAGATTCGGAGATTTGGACATAGACACAGCTTTAAATGTTTTTTCTACATACCACAAGGTTCCAGGTGGCTTGTGAAAGCTGTGATGCTGGGGCGGATGGAGCGTCCCACAGGAG